ATTACAGTGGTAACATATTGACTACGTTTGCTAAAACCAGAATGAAAAAATGCAGCAAAAAAACACTATTCAGGAGCACCAAAACTAACCTTAAAATTCAGTGGGGAAATGCGGTGAGGTGATGCAATCTTATAATTAGCAACAACTCTATGACCAGTGTAGCAAGGAAAAACAGTCAATTTTGACAAAAATGCAGCAAAATGATCATATACTTAGGAGGAAAATTAGTATTCTGACCAAAAATATAAACACTAAAGGGCGTTATTAGAAAGTACCACCCACAAACAACCTTAAAATCCTCCTAAAATAACCACAAGAATAAAAATCAAGCACACAAAATGAAAATTTCCGATGAAGTTTGAAAAAATAGGTTAAAAATCTAAGAAGAAGATAATCAACCATTTATCAGTAGATACCCCATAAGCTGCTAAATTAAGTAAGAGCAACGAATTAACATGTCCCGTTCATGAAACATGACTGTTAAACCAAAATCATGTGAAACAAGAATATTTAGTGACAAACTAGAGTACTTTAATGATAGTTGAGTAATTAACAGGCGGATTTGTGCAAAAATGACGGGCTCACATCATCACATGTATGATGGCCAAATAGGTAAAAAAAAAAGGTCATTGGACAGATTGGTAAAAAAATCACTTGAAACAAATTGGCAAAAAAAGGACCTAGTGACAAATTGGTCAATTTTTTGTGAGTGATAAACTTTCGATCCTCGATTTTAGAATTTCCGACATTTCATATTCTAAGTATTGTGAAGTTGATATTTTCAGTCATTTTACTTCAAAAGTGGAGGTCTATAAATGTCAATGACCGGGTTTGCTGTTTGATAAAATTAGTTGTCTGCTAGCTCATAACTGGTTGAATCAACAGATTGATATTAGCGGATTCGTTAACTTTTTTTAATTAACCGCTTTCATCAGCGGTTTGAAATAAAATGTTAGTAACTTCAAATTTACAATTAGTTTTTCAGACGTAAAATGACCATTAAAAATGAATATAAAAATTCATATATTTAAATTAATTTTATTTCTTTTTATTTTTAATAAGTCTTGGGAAAAGTTTTAAAAGTTATGTTTACGTTTATTTTAATAATTACTAACAATATCAGATATGTACATTAATGCGAGCACACACATATAAATTCATATATTTTTAGTAATAATATTTTAAATATGACTATTTATTAGTTTTTTAACGTCTACTCCATTTAAATAGTCATATGGACTATTATTAGTTTTTTAAAAAACTCCATGGTTATTTAAAATAAATGTAAATATAATTTATAAAACCATTTCACTTTTTAAAAATAAAATAAATAAAGTTAAGATAAAATATATACTTTTAAATTCATATCTTTAATAGTCATTTTAAGTCTTAACATTTAATAGCCAACAATTAAGTTACTAGCATTTTATTTCAAACGTAATGAAAGCGGTTAGTTAAAAAAGCTAATGAAATCCGCTATTATCAATATGCTGATTCAACCGGCTATTAGCTACTGGACAAATGTTATTATCAATCATTATCATTGACATTTTTAGACTTTCACTTTTGATGACAAAATAAAAGTAAAAGGATCGAAAATGTCAATTTCATAATACTTAGAATATGAAAGGTCGGGAATTCTAAAGTCGAGAATCAAAAGTTTATCACACAAAAAAAATTGACCAATTTGTCACTAGGCCTTTTTTTTTTTAACAATTTGTCTCAAGTGGTTTTTTTACCAATCTGTCCAATGACCATTTTATTTTACCAATTTGGTTATTTGGCCCATGTATGATTGATGATCTGATATAAGAAGGTGCATATTACAAATGTGCTCTCATCAATGACACCCTTCCATATATGCACTATGTTGATAATTGCTAAAGAAATCTCAGGATTAGCTAAAATCAGCCCTCATCATGGCTATAGAAATCTAATTCTCCTAAATGCACAAAAACATATGCTTCACTATTAATCAGAGACTCAAGTGTTTGAGATCTACAAAGTTAAATTATGTATTGAGAAGGCCGGTGAGGCAAAGTGAATGTACGAGATAGAAGTCAATGATGCATAAAACACTTTTAGTAATAAGACTGCATTTTAAATTTTTAATGTTAACATACAATGGTCCATTTGAATTTAGTTATTCATGTATATATTCTCAAAGCATGCTAGAGTAGTAGAGTATGTCAGATCACAATCCCATTATCACGGTTTAGGCTACTCCTATTTCGTGTGGTCTGGTCTAGGAATGAATTAAGTCCCAACTCTCAAGTAAAAACATCCTAACTTTAGTCACATTTCTATCTATGTGTTTTCTTTAGTACTCCGTAATATTTATGGAAAAAGATTCACTAGCTTGTCTTCCCTTAAGCACTTAATGTCTAAAGACTATTGTTGATTTTAGTGCGAGTGTCATGCTTCTCCGTATTGTGGACAAAGTCTTCTCAAATATTTGGTGCATACACCTCTGTCCTGGAGGTTAATAATACTACGTATGTATTTCACATGCACTTTAATTTCATTAAAAACTATTTTGTGTAATCATTCAGGCCGTTCTGCTTTATTCTTATCTCTCCTTTCATTTTGATCGATAATTTTGTATATGTAATATTTGGTACAGTGTGCAGGTCAAGCAATTGCAAAACGTACACACAGTTTTTGAAACCATCATTGGTCTTGTTGTTCGCTACTTCGCTTGGCTAAACATTGGCTTATTCATTGTGATTTCATTGAGTTTAACATAATGATATGCCTACAAGATGCTTATGATGGGGTGATCTGTTTTCTTTCTCATCTGTAGGCTATAGTTGTAGTTATCTTTATCTATTAAATGCATAGTGATAAAATTTAATTGATCTAATTTTTTGTCTTCTTAAATCCTAGATAGATGATGATTATAAGGTCACAATGATTGATTTTCCACAAACAGTCTCAGCCTCTCTTCGTAATGCACAAGTGTAGCATTTTCTGCTTGCATTGTGTTTAGTCACTTTAAGGGCAACTGCTAATGCATGTGTTCTTTTTATTCATTTTTTCTTATGATCCTCTTTGACTTCCGGGTACTTGGACCGTGATGAACTATATGTTCTATAATGAATGTGTATGACCTTAAGTTATCTGACAAGTTAGATATATGGCTGTTATTAGAAAAGTATTTGTCATGTCCTGAGTTGAGACAGAGTGATGACAGAGCAAGGATTAAACGAGACAAGAGTGGTCTAGTGGAGATAATGTAATGACAAAGAAAAAACAACATATATGGCTCAAGCGGTGTGATTGAGTGGGGATCGGAGATAGAGCAAAGGTTACTCAAAAACTGAATGTTTTGGGCCAACAGTTCCTGTACATTAGGGCTTCAGGGGCTTCAATTCACGTACTTCACCAACACTATATTGAGAAATTTTAGATGAAATTGATCATCTTGATTAAGAGTCCTGGAGAAGAGTACATGTTTTAGGAGATACAAAAAAACGTATAGTTGGAACAATATTTTTAGAGTGTTTCCTATAAATATGATCAATGTAAATGTTTCTAATATTTTAATCTCTTGTTTTGTCTTATATACAAGTTCTTGGGAGTATAGATATACCATGAATGTTGATTAGTCTACAAATTAATCCTTACACGCATGCATAACGTTTGTTTGTATGCTCTTAGCTATCCCTATAATTAAATTTTGTCGGAAAAAATAACATGTATCCATGAATATATTTGTGACAAATGAGTTAATCCTACAAATTTAGTTTGTATGCTTAACATCTGTCCTCTTAAAATTGACCATACAAAGTCTCGATCTTTGTGGGCTAAGTTGTTTCCCTTCAAGCTTTGCCCCACAAATATGGCCACAAATTAACTTTGTTGGGAAAGAATTTAGACCACAAAAAATGATCTTTGCATACAAATATCATATATAGGGAAAAGGTGATTTTCTAGTAGTGAGTAACACTTTCGCCGGAGGTTGCAGGAACTTGTCTGGTAGCGACGCTCCGTTGGAGGATGACGACGGAGGCGATAGCTGCCTTGCTCCGTCGGAGGTGCGTACGCTTCTCACATAGCTAGCATCGTCGAATGTGAAATCATGTCATTCACAGAGGGTTGAGGGATTGGGATTCTTTCCCATTAAGAGTACTCTTGTCATGTTAGTACATATTGGTCTTGTAAAAATGTGAGTCTTATTTTTGCAAATTGCACTTTGACAGTTTTAATCATATTTAGAGAATTCTCTCTAGAGCAATTAGTCACTTTTATAGAAAACTCAAATGAAGTTTTTATCTACTATATTTATATTAGTAATCTCCATAAAAAGGCCAATGCTTCCAATATAAAATTTCCTTGAAAAAATTAAAAATGCATTGAGATACCTTGGTCTCATGAAAACGAGATTTACTTTTTCATGTTACTCTTCTTTACGCATTTTTTGACCCCAACTTTTAATTTCTTAATTTCGGTGCCAAATTAATTTATTTTTGTAGACACAAACATGTTTTAAGTAATGAGTACTCTACCGGTCAGGTATACCTGACCGGAGCCCCGTCCGGCTTCCTCCATTTGGGGGCCTTTCCGGTGGTATTTTTTGCTCAAATTTTTTGTGTAGGTTCCTCATCAAGTTTAGTTCATCCATACCAAATTTCAGCCAAAAATTCAATCGGAAAGATCATTAAATGATTTTTGCAAGTTAAATGGTCCGGAATATATATTTTCCAGATTGGGAGAGTGGTCCGGCCTGGCCGGACCTGAATACTGGTGTTAAGTAAGGATGTTTTTACTTGGATTGTAATTTGCTGGTCTGGTCTGGTCTGATCTGGTCTGGTCTGAATTGGTCTGGTCTGGTCTGGTAAGGTCTAGTTTCTTTGTATTTTTATAATTATACAAGTCTGGTCTGGTCTGGTCTGGTCTGGGACAAATTACAGTACAAGTAAAAACATGCTAATTACCCAGCGATTTCTTAGAAGTAATAGAAAAAGTCAAACCATATTCAAACCCTAAACCTTGCGATGTGAAAATAAAAGGTCATTTGCGGGCTGCGGCCATCTACGACCTCAATGGACTACCGCGATGGAGACGACGATAGTGAGGAAGAAGAAGAAGGAGCCGGAGAGTCGACAACGATGAAGTGCGTATCATGCAAGGAAGATTACTGCGCACGAGAAGCTGGCACCTGCAGGGAGTGCTACGAGGAGGCCAGCGAGACGGAGCAGGAGCTTAAGCGCGAGATCGAGGAACTCAAGGCTAAAGTCAACTTTCTTCGGTTCTGGTCTCCAGTAGATCCCCTCCATTACATTAATCTCTCATTTCCTCAGCGAGGCCCTTCTCCATCTTCGACTCCCTGCTTTACCGACGTTGTTTTAGTGGCCTCTAATGTCGGGACCGAGAAGAACGCCACGCAGCCAGTTCCTGTTCCAGCCCATCGTACTGTTCTTGTAAGTGTACCTCTCTCCTTCATTTCGCACACTGATCCACTCTCATTTGTGCTCGCATAAAAGGAATCAAATTGTTCTATAACTAGGGGGTTTATGCATTCGCGTGCTCTAGATTAAAATTCTGCATATAGATCTGTGGTCCTCTTGACATGAAGTGGATTTTAAGGGTTTGATATTGCTGAAACGAACATCTAGTTGATATGAGGGATGTCAATGACTGATAAACTTCTAATCCCAATTGGTTTGAGCTGTTGCTTTAGCAAAAAATGGCTGACCAAGCAGAAACTCGAACTTATGGGCCTATGGCATGCTGGATGAGATGACTTGATATCAATAGTTATGTGATAGATCAACTTCTTTGGTGCCTTCATCAGTTTGAATGTTCATTTAGCTTTTGTGTAATCAGGCAAACTTATACAAGGTGGTATTTTGTGATGCCAGGTTGGTCTTTCTCTCTTAGATTTGAATTATATGTTGTTTCTTGGGTTAGATGACTAGATAGAGTATCTCTTTGAAGAGAGCGAAGTGGAGGAAGAGTACAAGTACAAGTATTGTTTAACTCTAATCAAGGTTTGAAAGGCTAAATCGGGCCCCGAGGTGACCGGCAGTAGCCTCACAAGGCGTAACAGTGCATAAGACTCAAAATTACTTGTTGAAGTTTTGCTACAAGTCTACAACATATGAATAATATAGATAATTCATAATAATAATTCAGCTAAACAGAATCATAAATAAAAAGAACATAACAATAAAATGTCCAAGTTGAAATAACATAAAACTCTAACATATCAAAGTTAAAAGAACATAAACCACTAAAATATCCATGACAAAAGAACATAAAATGCATAAAATATTACATTGTAAATCTTGAGTCAAGTAAAGTATTAACCAAATAAATTATTAAGCTACATGATAGTTTTGCATGATAATTTCAAAGTATAAACCATAGACTAATAAATATAGTAATGAAGTTTAATAACAAAGTTCAGAAAGAGTAGCATGGTACTCTTGCAGAATAAATATTAAATACTAAGTGGTTTAAAACTGCACTTTTGAATACTTAAAATGTTAAAAAACATAAACAATAATCACAATAAAAAAGTATGGAAGTTAGGCGGTGGGATCATCACCTGGACAAAGTAGCTCCTGAAGTCTCTGTACTTAGCTTCAACTGAGAGAACAGCTCTTCAAGTCGCTGTTTGTTAATATCATAGAAGAGTGGAAGACTAGCGATCAGCGACAACCTAGGCTGTCGACTAAGTGATAACACTTCCAGGACCAAGGTAGTCAAAGCCGAGTGCCTGGGTGCTTAAGCGCACCAGGCGCAGTGCACAGAAGCCCCATCGCTTGAAGAACGATCAGACGCACTCCCCTGCCTAAGGCACAACCGCACAACTTAGGCGTAAAAGTGCTGAAGCGCAACTGCGATAAAAAGCGCTCGCTATCTGCGCCTGATAGGGGAACTCGTTTTTTTAAAGTTCAATGATACAGTTCAGACATGTCGTCAAATAAGAAGCCCATGTTTTTAATAAAGCCCGTCTAAATAAGTTCAAAACAACATATACCTATGCTAAACAACACACCGTAAACCTGATCTGCTCTACTCAAGTTACCTGTTCGCTCCTTCTCCTGTCCTCCACATCAACTGCAGAAGTTGGCAGCAACTAGCTTTCTCTTCTCTATCATTCCATTTTCTTTCTTTTTTCTTTTTTCTTTTTTCAATATCTACTTCTTCTTATATACTTTATACAACTTAAACATTATATATGTAAATAAACTACCAGTATAATGGTCTATCATGTGCAACAACACTCTTCATTGTGCCATTTTGCTTTCTTCTTTACTTTTTCAGCATCCTTCTTATATAGTTTATACCCTATTACTCTAGATACATAAAATCTAATTATGTTTTATTTTTCCGTTTGAAAGTTTAGGACTTTAGGTTACGAATTCTGAATTTGGTTGTTTTGCTTTTGTGAATCATGACCTTATTTTGGTTAATCATGACTTTATTTTGGTGAAACATGACTTTATCTGTGAGAAACCTTACTTTTTTATGTAGTTAGTTGAGTATGGTGTTATACACATCATGTTTTATTATTGAAGAATAATATATGTGATATTTCCAAAGTAATGCGCCTTACATGAGTCAGGCGAGCGCTTTTTTGCGCCTTGCGCCTCAAGCGTTGGGAATACCCTATCGCCTTGAGTGCGCCTCACGACTTTGACTACCTTGGTCCAGGTATATGGTATTTTAGATTTTAGGATGGGGAAAAAATTAAGGTCCCCAATAATTTAAAAAATAATCCCAACTTGCGTTAAATTAGAAGCGTGTGCCTCGTTTACGCCTTGTGCCCACCGCCCTTCACCTCTACGGTTCATCACCTCAAGAAAATAAAGGCTTGAGCCTTGTTACGGAAATGGGGGAGGCTTAAGCCTTATAGGCATTTTAACAGACGCCTTTGCGGCTTTACGCCTCAGGGGCTTAAGACCTGCACGCCTTTTAAAACCTAAAGTCTAATGTCACATGTCGATTCATGTTAGCCGACCCTTATCTCTCTTGGGATTAAGGCTGGGATGTCGTTGTCGTTTTTGTAGTATTTCTCTTTCTTAGTTTTTTTCAAGGCAAGTACTGAATTAGCCTACTCTGTAAAAAAAGGATGCAAAAACAGGGTTTCGAACCAAAAATAATGGTAAGACCAACAGTAATCTGTGTGATATGCTATTTCTTCAATTTAAGATTAGAGTGATTAGTACTGTGATAGAAATTGAATTGCAATATAAGTTGGTCAACTCTTTTCCAAATGATGTAAAAGTGGAATAGTAGATAAAATGGAATATCAAGAGAGTTGTAATTTTTTAATATAACAGTGTTAAGGGTTGGTGTGAAAATGGTTAAAAGTGTGCTTAGTGTGACGTTAACATAAATTTGTGTAAACTTGGCGAAAACGACGTGAGTGCAGGCAGTGGCGGAGCCAGAAATACGGTCCAGGGGGGTCGAGAATCAACTTTATACAAAATGAAAACGGTGGATCGTTTCCAAACAATGTCCGAGTTGAATATTTTATATGTAGTTTAGATAAATAGGCACTCGTAACAATAAAAGAGACTGTTTTTGCTCTATTTTTGAGTCATGTCACGTAAGTAATGAGTTAATTATACGCTATTTTTAAAATTTGGGGAAAAAATCAATATTACTCATCAAATTTTGCTGATTTTACGTTTAGATAGCGCTGATTTTGCAGAAGTCATAACTTTTTACTCGTAATGAGTTACGGGGGCCATAATATATTAAATCGAAGATATTTTCAGAGCTCTATGCTCTCAAACTTTCAGCGGGGTCGACTGACCCCCCCTGACCCCCCCGGGCTCCGCCCCTGAGTGCAGGTGATTTTTTAGGCTCAAACAAAAGAATCAGAGTTGACACCGTACTCAAATATATATATATATATATATATATATATATATATATATATAGTTCGGGAATGAGTTTCTATAAGAGTGGTCCACTCATTTGATTTGTTTGGTAGTAAATAGGAACCAGAATCAAACTTTAAGTAAATAATACGTAGTACTACTTAATTAAGAAGGTACATAATGATTGAGAAAAATACTTGCATTTTCATTTCGTTCATATGGTGGTTTAGATTTATCATACAATGTAGATTTGAATATGTCTGAAATTTTCCTCAAATCTGCCTTCTTGAATGATTAACTATCCCATTGTAGATACATTGTTCTCGCATCATAGGCACATATCACCAATTCACTATCAGATGTTAAGTGTATTACCTTTAAATAATGTCAGGACCTATTACACTAGAAATGTTCCATTACAAGGATATGAGATGATATTGTTGAGTGAAATAACAGGCGAGTCGGTCCCCAGTGTTCAGAGCAATGCTTGAGAATGAAATGGAAGAAAGCCTCAGCGGCACGATTAAAATCAGTGACGTATCCTACGATGTTCTTCGTGCCTTTGTCAGTTACCTGTACACCGCTGAAACCTGCCTAGACGAGTGCATGGCTTGCGACCTTTTGGTGTTGGCTGAGAAGTATGAAATCAAGCATTTGAAGACATACTGTGAGAAGTTTCTCATATCAAAGCTGAATTGGGAGAACTCACTTCTAAACTATGCTTTTGCTCACCAACACAATGCAAATAATTTGGTTGAAGCTGCCCTGGCATTGATAATGGACAACATGGACAAGCTGAGGAAGCGTGAAGAATATGGTGATTTGGTGGAAAAGGATCCTAGGCTTGTTGTGGAACTCTATGAAGCTTATTTATGTAAACAGGTCAACACTGCCGCTTGTAAGGACCCTAGTGCAAAATGATATTCTTTTTGCCCGGGCAGAAATGTGTGGAGTTGATTCAAATGAAGGCTCTTCATATGATCTGAGGTTAATGTATGGCATCTCATTTTCATGGTGTTTTATAATTTCAGTACTGAATTATAGACCGAATAATGAGTTTTGAATCAACAGCCTTTATATAATTATATTTCTAAAGACTTCAAAATAAAGCAACCAACATCATGTGTGTCTGCTAGCTAGTCCTACAACATGTGTAAATGTACCGAAGAATTTTGTAAAAAATGCATTTGCTATGTAACTATGTTTCTTGTCACGCCATTGATTGCAACTTATTTACAATGAAACACGTCATTTACATATTACAATTTGATGCCATCCTCCCTTTGTTATAGGCATGGACCCGGTTCGGGCCGCCCGGCCCGGGACCGGCCCGGCCCGCCACTGTGCGAGCCCGGAACCGGCCCGGTTCTCGGGTCCGGGTCCGGGTCGGGCCTAGGCCCGGTGGGGTGGCCGGGTCCGGGCTCGGGCCTTGAATTTGGCGAACCGGCCGGGTCGGGCCCGGGCCCGGGCCGAATTAATTTTTTTTTAATTTGTTTTTCTTTTTTTGGGGTTAGCCAAGTTGGGCTTGATGGTTAGGAGGGGTTTGGGGGTTTGGGGGGGGTGTGGGGGTGAGTGGGGGGGTTAGGAAAGCAAAAAAAAAAAAAATTATAACCGAACCGGAGGCCCGGCCCGGCCCGGCCCGGACCCGGACCGGACCCGGTGGCTACCCGGGCCGGTCCCGGGCCTTCCTTCCCAAAAAAAAAAGCCCGCCCGGGCCCGGCCCGGAACCGGAACCAGCCCGGCCGGGCCCGGCCCGGAACCGGAACCGGCCCGGCCCGGGTCCATGACTACTTTGTTATAAACAAATAGTGCTAGGTACTGTGCTAGGAGGAAAGCCTATAGAGAGAGGCAAGTGTTTAATTAAATGGAAGAGACTGCCTAATTTTTATTTTATGTCGGAGTTTGGTAGTCACAGATTCACGGTATGACGACACGGCTAAAGTCCTAAAGGAAAAAAAATGATTGGTGACTATGTGGATGAATTGTTCTTGGCGAAACTGTAATGTCCTACACCTGACTGCACCAGTGCACCGGTGATGCAAGTTTTCTAGCTCTAAAAAGGGAATTAAATATTAAATAAATTAATCGATTAAAATAAATAATAGAAATGGAAATGTGCGAGATTAGATTTTTGAAAAATTAAACGATGCGAAAATAAAGCAAAATTACAGGTTCTTTCTAATTAACGATGGAAGGTAACATGGATTGATTTCAGGGGTTCGAGTCCGACCAAACTTAATCACATAAAAATTATTTGATTGAGCAATGTTGGTCAATAGTAAGTTCTTACTACTCTCGCGAGTCGCGACGTAGGGTGCAATAATTTAGGGAGTCTGGTTGATCTCTCATGTGATGAAATTCTAAATTATTAACAAAACGGGCGAGCGTACTACTCCATAACAGTTACTATCTCTTAGCGAGTGATTGAGTGTGTGTGAAAGTGTACTAAAATAAATTTGATCTCTCGTGAATTGTTCTATGTGCAATTATAACCCTAGCTACAATACTCGGTTACAACAGATAACGTTACATGATTCAAATAAGAAATTAACCCTATATCATAATAAACCCCTTCATCAATTTCAAATCCATAATAATTAAAATTACTCACAATTCATAATTGAATTAACAATAGAATTGATAAAGGAAAAATTAATTGTCACTAATTAAAAAGATTGAACTTACAAATAATCTCAAATGTAGATAATTCAAGCTGAAAAGCTCTTAAAAATTCGTTTCAGGGGTTATCTCTCTAATTTCATTACTAAAAACACATAAAAACAATATGTATTTATAGAAAATAGCTAATAGTGGGCGAACTTGAGTCTGCACGGTCGCGCGCACGGCGTGCTCCTGGTCGTGAGGACCTCCTTTAAAATCCGTACAGTGTGCGGACTCCGCACGGGCTGGCCTTGCGGGCCTCCCTGCAAGCATGTTCAGGAGTACGAGGTGTGCAGACTCGCCTACACGGCGTGCAGACAAGATTTCGAATTGCAAATCCCTGATTCATTTGCACAACGTGCGGGCGGGCGGTGCGGCCAACTTGTGCGTGGCGCGCGGATCTCATTTGGACTGTTTTCTTACTCTATTCTTCCACATTCGATCTTGATCGTTCCCGATTGATCCCAAATTCATTTTTGTCTTCTTTTAACTCTAAGATTACTCCTTAATCGCCCTGTGGATCTCCAATACCTCTTATCAGCTCTCGAGCACGTCCCAAATATTCTCAAATTAATCTCTGACATCGATGTCTTCACATTCTTGACTTTTGATTCTAAAATAGCAAACACAAACCAACAACCCGGTAAATTATGATTTGAACTAATTAAACATTTTGCGAGTCATTTAGGTTACGGAAAATGACAAAAACATACCCCAATACTCATCAAACGCGTGTTGAAAGACGAACTCATCAACTGGCGTGAATATCTCGTCGAGAAATATATAATTATAGAGAATGGAGGGATTGATTACTAACAAAGATAATTTTCAGTTCTTACAAAACTAGAAAAGTGGAAAAAGAAAAATAGGAAAACTTGCGCGTTTACTGATGTTTCAAAACAAATTATTTACTGAAAAAGTGGAGAAAGAGAAACAGAAACAAATCATTTTTCAAAACAAAAAAATGACATATGTCTTAATTTGAAATATCCAAGCGTTGCAGTGCTGATGCTAATGAATTTGCCTACTTGCGACTAGTGAAGGACCCGGTCCAACTCCGGCCTTGGTTTCAATCGACGACTGGGTGGTCCCAATTTGGTCTGGTTGATGATTCAACAGTCCAACCCGATCATACCAGGTCGATGACCCGACAATTCCTATCCCGATCCGGTTCTCAATTTTTTAAAACCATTTTTTAAAAGTGACGAATTTCAAAAGAGCCGTTGATTTGCTAATTATTAGAGAAAAAGGAAAGTGGTAAACCAGCTGTTGGGACTTGGGACTGGTCGGTTTCAGTCTTAACTTTTCTATATCCGGGACCGAGTACCCTTTTTGGGCTGTATCAAGTCTGGTTCTGGACCAGGATCGTACTTTCGGCCTTTCGAGTGGTCCCAGAATCGGGTGAGAAAAATTGGACCAATTGGTGAACGTGTTTTCAGATTTGAAAATGAAAAAGTAGAAAATGAAAATAGAAAATTGTAAAATGAAAAAGATGGAAAAAAATGAAAATCGAAGAACAAAAAACAGAAAAAAAATTGTGAAGTATCTCTATTAGTAAACAGGTTTGTTGAGTTTAATCCAACACGATATAGTAAATATATGTATAAATGTGTATGAACAAGCTCAGTTTTTACGTGGAAACCCGAAAGGGAGAAAACCACGGGACTTTTTAGGCTAATGTCCAAGCCCTCTCAATTCTCATTAGACTCTCCTCACCATTACATAGTACAAGTATTGAAGCTCCCATTAATGGAGTTCTAAGCTATTCTAGTGAGAAGGAGGAAGAAGAAAAGGATCCCTAAACATGTGGGAAAGCCCCATATTTATAGGGGTAAGGGAAAGGGGGAAACCTAACCTAATGGGCCAAGTAAGCCCAAAATGGGCCCAAAGGGCCGAAACATGCCTAATAGGCTGAAATGGACCTTGTCATTCGAGCTCCAAGCTGGGGCGATGCCTTGGGCTCCTGAACAGTAACGGACCGGGGTAATATACCTCAACACAAGTCCCCCAGTTTCTTGAGTAGTGAGCGTGCGAATCTGCTCGAGAAAGTATACTCTTGTCTACGCTCTTCCTCTGCCTTTTTTGCACGTGACCTCGGCTTTCAGAGCAAAGGCTTAATTCAATGCCTTGGCCTAGGTGCGAGGGATTGGGGCGTTCGGCCCACGGATGCCCGACCCGACTTCCTTTGGACGTTCGACCCTTAGGAACTCGGCCTAGATGTGTCCTTGCTCTTGATGCACGACCCGGTAGCAGACCTCGGAGTCGTCATACAGCGACAATCCTCGGCCTATTCCTAGAGACGTTCGACCTCCAGATGCTAGGTTGGGCTTCCTTGGACGTTCGGCCCCTTGACGGTCAGCCCGTTCGATCTCTCGTTGTTGGGGCTCTGGAATTTTCCTTCAGGATGCTTGGCCCGACATGCTTAGGAAGATTAGTCCCTAGAAACCCGACCCAACTTCATTTGGACGTTCATCCCTAGAAACTCGACCTAGATGTGTCTTTGCTTTTGATGCACGACCCGGTAGCAGACCTCGGAGTCGTCATACAGCGACAATCCTCGGCCTATTCCTAGAGACATTCGACCTCCAGTTGCTAGGTTGGGTCTCCTCGGGACATTTCTACCTCAACATGCTTAGCCTGGGCATGCTCGGTCTCAGGATGTGTTGCGCGCCTCAATGCCCTTGGCCTCCGGGGTGGGGATGCTTGTCCCCAGTCTTGGGCCTCTGGGTGATGGATGTTCGTCCCCGGGCTTTGGCCTCCGGGTGATGGATGTTCGTCCCCGGGCTTTGGCCTCCGGGTGATGGATGTTCGTCCCCGGGCTTTGGCTTCCGGGTGATGGATGCTCGTCCCATGGCCCTTGGCTCTTGGGGTGGAAGATGTTCGTCTCCCAGCCCTTGGCCTTTGGGGTGGAAGATGTTCGTCTCCCAGCCCATGGCCTTTGGTGGTCTTCTTTAGACGCTCGGCTTCTGGGGTGGAGGATGCTCGTCCCCGGGCCTAGGCCACTGGACGATAGATGATCGTCTTCGGGCCCTCGGCATCCGGGGTGAAAGATGCTCGTCCACGGCCCTTGGCTTTTGATAGTCTTCTTTAGATCCTCGGCCTCCGGGTGGAAGATGCTCGTCCCCGGGCCTAGGCCACTGGACGATAGATGATCGTCTTCGTGCCCTCGGCATCCGGGGTGAAAGATGCTCGTCCACGGCCCTTGGCTCTTGATAGTCTTCTTTAGATCCTCGGCCTCCGGGTGGAAGATGCTCGTCCCCGGGCCTAGGCCACTGGACGATAGATGATCGTCTTCGGGCCCTCGGCATCCGGGGTGAAAGATGCTCGTCCACGGCCCTTGGCTCTTGATAGTGTTCTTTAGACCCTCGGCCTCCGGGTGGAGGATGCTCGTCCCCAAGCCCTTGGCACCAAGGTTCATTTTGAGCATCATCTCTTATCTGACTATGATCTTAATCTGCACAATGAACATAGTAACGCGGCCAAATGGCCAGACAATATGTATATGTGCACACTCTGTTTTTTTTTTTTTTTTTTTGTAGGTCGGCTTGGGGCTCTTCCGGGCATGACGGTCGGCCTCGGAGTGTGATGACCTTCGGCCCGGCCCGTCACCTAGTTCTTCCGGATATGAGTTTCCACATTGGGGTACGATGACCCTCGACCCGGCTCATCTCCTAATTATTAAATCAAAAACCCGGTGGAAGCTCATCCCCGAGCTTCGCTCGGCATTATTTAATTCGGGACATTTTAGTCCCTATTAAATAATGGTGATAAAAATACTAGTAATAATAATACTTTAAACTAGTAGATTAATTAATGTACCAACTTAGAAGTGTAGGCACTTAGCTGTAGAATAATGGAGACGTTCGTCCAGGTAACCTCCAAGTGGAATGGGGTGAGCTTCTTTCACCAATTTTGACTTTGATGACATATTTTCACAAGTTCCATGCGCCCCATCCGTTCAGCCAATGGCCCAAATGGAATTCCTCATTTTCATTGGAAGGTTTTTTATTTTATTTAGCCAAGACGTACGTGGTCTAATCTTTAGAGAATTTACTTGAGCATGAAAGGTCCAGCCCACTAACTTAAGATAAGACCCGGCTCGCCGTCTATCCCTTCATTCCCATCCGCAGAGGAAAATTCCTCATGGGAGACGATCTTCGGCTTAAATCAAGACTCAAGAGCCGGGCGGAAATCATCCATAGGCCGAGCTGCGTGTCCCCAGGATGACGGCCTGCCGTTGGTTACCCGAGGGGGATGAGCGTAGGTAGGGGCTGATCGACAAGGTGGGAAATACGTACGTCCCCGGCAAGGCGGCAATCAATTCATCGTTGGACCCGTGGCAACTTCCCGTCGGATGGCCAACTATAAACGCCGAGCAGCGGCTGAGTGTGGGCCGAGTGCGGAGCAGCGGACCGGACTTGGCGGTGAACGACTGCTCCATGGTGGCAGCCCGAGTGTTGTTCGCTATCCAGTGTAGAGGCACGTCTGGTAGCCGGCCTGAAGTCATGCGGTGGGGAGGGACGCCCTTGTTGCTTGTCCACATGATCATTACTCCCGACGCGCGACCTACTGCTAGTAGCTCCTGCCAACTCTCTCCTTCGGCTTGTGGGAAGTCTGTGACCAAGATGGAGGCCGCACGGCTACTGATGCTTACCCAAACATCTCCTTCATCCTTTGAAAACCTTGCAGCGGCTGCGGAGGTAAGCTAAGAAGGGTAGCCGAGGTGTAAGGACGATCGACTAACTTTTGTGGGCGTCCAAACCGGGGTTGCTGACGACGAGCGGCACCGAAAACTGGGCATGCATGTTGGGAATCCATTGCTCATCACGAGGAAGAAGACTTGACTAATACGGAGTAATTAAATAGAATGAAAACAAAAAAGCTACGTACGCGACTTCTTCCTAAGCACATACACTATGTACGCGCCTATGCATTTCTTCCTAAGTGTTTGATTTTAGATCAAATACACAACATATAATTTATTCCTCCTCGGCATTTCCAACAATGCACACATGCATGCTGGGCATTCGGGTAGGGGAGACGAGCGGTGGCCGGCAGGGTTGACTACAGGGCCTGGTCTTCGGCAGGAGACCCCCCCGAGCTTCAAGAGAACCCTCTTCGAGCTGGTGGGTGGTCTGCGGTTGACGGCCGACGTCAAGGGGCGGTGCGGCGACCCAGGCGATGGCCGGTGGCGAAGTATGAGCGATGGCTATGCTGCGTGCGGTGCGGCCTAGGACACTGCTGGAGCTCCATCTGGTGCGGCTCCACTCGCCGAAGGAGTCCACGGCGGCGGGAATGGTGACGGTGGTCCTCGTCACCCCAGCCCAGATCTAAAAACTCGATTAAGACTTCCAGCCTTCACGGCTTCTCCTCCTGGCTTTGCTTCTTTCCTCTCACAATTATTTCTTTCGTTTTTCTTTGCTGGAATCCAGTTCACCCGTATGAATTTTTTTGTAGAAAACTCAAGAATAGTTGAAACACATGAATCTTTTTGAACTGGTTCCCACAGACGGCGCCAGTGTTGAGTTTAATCCAACACGATATAGTAAATATATGTATAAATGTGTATGAACAAGCTCAGTTTTTACGTGGAAACCCGAAAGGGAGAAAACCACGGGACTTTTTAGGCTAATGTCCAAGCCCTCTCAATTCTCATTAGACTCTCCTCACCATTACATAGTACAAGTATTGAAGCTCCCATTAATGGAGTTCTAAGCTATTCTAGTGAGAAGGAGGAAGAAGAAAAGGATCCCTAAACATGTGGGAAAGCCCCATATTTATAGGGGTAAGGGAAAGGGGGAAACCTAACCTAATGGGCCAAGTAAGCCCAAAATGGGCCCAAAGGGCCGAAACATGCCTAATAGGCTGAAATGGACCTTGTCATTCGAGCTCCAAGCTGGGGCGATGCCTTGGGCTCCTGAACAGTAACGGACCGGGGTAATATACCTCAACAAGGTTCCTAGTATTTTCTTTCCGTTGGTCCAAAAATAATCTATTATTTCCCTTTTGACAAAAAAATGTATTTCACGACATTTCTAAAACATTCTTACTCGTTTCTATTCCTACATAGTTTAATTAATATGGAAATTAATAAAGTAAAAACTGAATAAAAAAGTGACAAATCTTCATGTCAGGCCGGCCTGACGGGATGCTCCGTCCGGACGAGCCCGTTTGGGCACCTTCCCGGTGGAATTTTTTGATGAAATGTTTTGAGCATGTTCCTCATCAAGTCTAGTTTGTCCATACCAAATTTAAGCTCAAAATTCGATCGGGAAGGCATTCAAATAATTTTGTGAAGTTGACTGCAGTTTTATATGTATATTTTGACGCAGTCAACTTCAAAAAATGATTTGAATGCCTTCCCGATCGAATTTTGAGGTGAAATTTGGTATGGACAAACTAGACTTGATGAGGAACATGCTCAAAAAATTTCATCAAAAAAATCCACCGGTATGATTCCCAAACGGGCTCAGCCGGACGGAGCATCCCGTCAGGCCGGTCTGACATGAAGAGCACTCTAAAAAAGTTTCTCAATTTTGACAGTTTTGAGTGACCATGGAAATAAAAAAACATGACAGCGTGCTTTTGAAGACCTGAAGACCTGGAACATACCTTATCTCTAGACTGAAGACCAACTTACACCATCGCTCCTACTGTGAAACCATGGCCGGCGCGACGGCGGCAACCGCGATTGGACCGGTAATTACAAACAGACGCACAACTCCTTCTACAACCACCAGTGAACGGTTCTGTCTACACAAGGTCTCATGTCTATCCGGTTTCTCTCCCACTCGCTCTCTCCGGGTTGTCGCTCCCGGACGAGCTCGTCGCGGTGCCATCAGATGCACGGCCAACCGTTCTGCCTATTCGCCTCTGAAATCCGGTTCGAGTTCCGGTAACCGGCCGCCAACAGAGATTGCACCGCTTTTTCCCGGTTGCGACTACGAGCACTGGCTCATAGTCATGGATAAACCAGGCGGAGAGGAAGCTACCAAGAAGCAAATGATTGATTGTTACATTGAAACCTTAGCCAAAGTTGTGGGAAGGTATTGAGCTTGAATGGTTTGCAGTTAAACACTCAATTGTTGTTGTCTTCATTTTCTAGTTTGAAATGTAGTTGTAAGTTCTTTTATGTATGCCAGTGAAGAGGAAGCTAAGAAGAAGATATACAATGTTTCCTGCGAAAGGTACTTCGGATTTGGTTGCGAGATTGACGAGGAGACATCAAATAAGCTTGAAGGTAGTGTTTGGATTCCAATAATCTAGTACTCCTTACTTCTTTTTTGAAGGCAGGACGCATAGTATATATTCACATTGTTTTGTGAGGTATATGCAGGATTGCCTGGAGTTCTCTTTGTTCTTCCAGATTCATATGTTGACCCTGAAAACAAGGACTATGGAGGTATACACTTTGTCTGACTGATACTGTGATAGGGATTTATGTTTTTCTATTAAGTTGGAAACTTGCTGTATATTTGTTGAAGCTATTCATTTTACGCGTTCTTTTTAATCAAAGACAAATAAATAACGCAACTTTGCCACACCATTCGCGCCATTAAGCACGTTGATCTGCATGTTGTATGGCTAGGTCTAAGCATTCAATAGATAACAAAAGAATTGGAAACCTAGGATATATGCTTGTTCTAATCCCAAATGGAAGATCTGAAATTAGAACCTTTCAATTCAATTCATTCTTCATGTTTTCCAATTGGCACTAAATTTATGATGTTAACTAATTTTGGATAGTTAATTGACACTACAAATTTCAATCTGTCCACCTCAATATAGCTGGGATTAGGCTGGTGATGATGTGACTGTGCTTAAAGACTAGTTGCAACTTGCTACTCTTAATTGGAGCCCATTTTATTGTTATTCCTGCCTTTTATTCTGCCAATCAGCAGAATAAGTTGCTTTATGAGTTATGACTTGTTTGGCTCAATTTAGTTTTACCAATTGCTTTTCCTTTTGCGAAAAACAGCAGTTTCAGCCATAGAGGTTATATAACTCTAACAGAAGAGACACTTAGCCCCCCCCTGTCTCTGTGCTTACTAGTGTTAGTTGCTTAACTGCATTTATCAAATTTCGTTTTTGAAATGATTGCTGAACGCCGCACATCATATCTTTATCCTACTTTCCACCTTAGAACCTTGCTTCTGCATTGCATTTTTAGTTCTTTATTATAGTTTCTGAACAAGGGTGAAGAGCCTTTGTTGTTCACATTGAGTTAGTTTTTACATGGTGGATTTTTGCAGCTGAGCTCTTTGTGAATGGAGAAATAGTTCAGAGGTCACCTGAAAGACAGAAGAGAGTGGAACCTGTCGCACAGAGAGCTCAAGATAGGCCCAGATACAATGACCGGACTCGTTATGTTAGGCGCCGTGAGAATGCACCACAGTAAAAGGCAAAATTATTTAGTTTAGGGAAAATGTATTCTTGTTCTCATGTATGAAACCCTTTCCAGCTAACATATTTCATCATGAAAAGATAATGTATGCTACTACTTAGTTCTGTGTGTAAAAACAACCCAAACATGCATGCAACAACAGTTTAAACCTCCCATAATGATCGTGAGGTCATTACAAAGTTTAGATGCATACCAGTCTGCTTACCCCCATTAGGTGGATGATCATTTTCATGAAAATGACCACATTGGGTCATCAGCCGTTGCCTAGTGTGATGACCATGTTTGGATGCAATCATGCTAACAACGCAGTAGGAGAATTAGGTATCAGTTTGCATTATGTGTTGGGGGCATGACACACACATCTCATGCTGGTATCTTGGACAGTGTTCGGGGTTGACAAGTTTCTAACTACAGACCAAACCGGTTGATGTTTTACCCAAATTTGCACATCAGCCACTTGTAGTTCCCTTGTCCGGTTCCTGTTTTTCAAAGTTAGCACTCGATCAGCAACTTGTGGTCCGAGTAACAAATTTTCAAGGTTGTGAAGTTGGGTAGAAACAAGAATCGGACCAGAACTATCTGAGTTCTCAACTTTGAGAGTTAGAGGACTAAGGATGTTTTCTTTTGGATTGTTTTCAGTCCTAGACCAGACTTAAACAGACCGGATTGGAATTTGAGAGTAATAAAATACAGACATCAGACATTTACCAGACTAGTTTGGATCAGACCAGATCAACAAATTTCATTTCATTTCAAAAGAAAACATCCTAAAATTGGATGGTGCCAACTAGTCATGGACCCGGGTTGGGCCATGCTTTTTTTGGGAAGAAAGGCCCGGGACCGGCCCGGGTAGCCACCGGGGCCGGCCCGGGTAGCCACCGGGGCCGGGTAGCCACCGGGGCCGGCCCGGGCCTCCGTTTTTTTTTTTTTTTTTTTTTTTTGCATTCCTACCCCCCACCCCCCAAAACTCCCAAACCCTTCCTAACCATCAAGCCCAACTTGGGTGGAACCCCAAAAAGTGAAAAAAAAAAAATCAATTAGGCCCGGACCCCACCCGGCCGGGCCGGTTCACCAAATACAAGGCCCGATTCCGGACCCGCCCCCCACCGGGCCTAGGCCCGACCCGGACCCGGACCCGGACCCGAGAACCGGGCCGGTTCTGGGCCCGCACAGTAGCGGGCTGGGCCGGTCCCGGGCCGGGCGGCCCGAACCGGGTCCATGACTAGTGCCAACTCGTTCTTGGGTGCCACCATAGCCAGTTTAGTAGTGTCAAGTCAACTACACTTGCAATGCATAGCCAGCTTAGTTTGGTAGTACACTAGTACCATACTACCAACTAGGGATGGACCCGGGTCGGTCCGGTCCCAGTTCCTAGCTGAGACCGTTTGGTCCCAAAAAAATTTGCTTCGGCTTGGGTCCGAGGGGTCCGACCCACTTTGTTCCGAGCCTGGGCTGATTCCGAGTACTCGGACAGTCGGACCTAAATTTTGTAATTTTTTTTAATTTGTTGCCCGGTTGCCGGTTGGAACTTGGAAGCCTAAATAAATACTGGGTCGGGACCGAAACCGGTATCAGCGCCCGATTCAGTGCTCAAAACTGTAATCCGGAACCGCCCGTGAACCGTTCTAGGACGAACACGGTCCCATGCTCAAAACCAAAAATTTCAGACCGCTAACCGAAAATTTCGGACCGCTGGGCCTGGACCAGGTCTAACCCCTACTGGCTACTACCCACCATAGTTTCACCTTAAATTCATTCTCAACAAATGATCCTTAATCAATTAATGGATGATCTGCACTGACCATCAACAATAATTAATATTATACGTAGTAATAATAAAAATAATAATAACAATAATGCCAAGGCAGTCAAAAATCACAAGCAATAAAACCTACATTATACATCAGAAGAAATGAATCATATATTCATATACAAGAAGATTGATGATGATTCATCATTAGAAGGGATTCAACAGGTGCATCAAGTACAGAAGCAGCTTAAAAACATTCGGCAGTTTTTAATGCCGAGCCAACACCATTATACATCAGAAGAAATGAATTATATATTCATATACAACAAGATTGATGGTGATTCATCATCAAAAGGGATTCAACAGGTGCAGTCTCTTCAAGTACAGAAGCAGCTTCAAAACATTCGGCTGCTTCTAATGCCGACCCAACACCACTTTCTTTGTAGAGTAGGCCCAGATTATACCACACCGAAGCATTCATTCTGTCAAGCCGCAGAGCTTCCATCAGAAAGCTTCTAACAAGTAATGGAGATTGGTCACCCATCCGCCTGAGGACCAAAGCAGTAGAGACTAGACTTGGGACATGAGTTGGAACAACAGCCAAGGCATTGTTATACTCTCTCATAGCTTCTTTATATTGTCCCTTTGCTTCATGAAGCAAACCTGAGTGTTGCCCGCAAAGTACAATCATCATCACCAATCATAAAGAAGACATAAGTATGTTTAGCCAAGTCTGAGAATTAATATTAGGATTAAAATCACATTTGTTGTCTCAAACTTTATCCCTCTTATCACTTGGGTCTTCAAACAACAAATTCTCACATTCTACTCCCAATCCTTATAGATCATTTATGGTGTTTTCCATGTGACATCTCATGGTTTTTGCTTTTCTACAAATCATTTAAACGAACTTATAAAATGGAAAAAAACATGTACATAGAACTTTTAATGACTAATTTAGGTTTATTTTTCTATGAAAGTAAAATAATATTTTGTTTCATATAGGTGTTAATGGTATAATAATATTTTGTACGTGTTAGTCAATTGCTATTTAGGTTTTTTTCTTACTAGTTAAATATTTATTACTATTGGAAAATAGATACTAGATACGGAGTATATGTGTGTGCATGAAACTGTGAAAGTGATGCATGTACTACAGAAATTAACAGAGTATAGACTTTTTATGAACTAATTTAATTTAGTTTAGTAGTATAAAAATACCATGTGGTATGCCATGCGGCTGATAAGCATTTCATGTGGCATCTCATGGTAAAACGGAAGGAAAATTTAATGCAAGGAATGCTATGGTGTGAAATATAAAATTTGGGTATCATATGTTTAGGGTTATTAGTTCAATGACCAAAATGATACGAGGGAAAAAGTTTAACAATCAAATATGCTTTTAAACCTTATTTTGATAGGGAAAAAACTAAAGTTTATTAGAATTAAAGTTACGTACCAACAGTATGCAACCTAGAAGCTGAATAGTGACTAATAGTTTTTGCCTTAGAAAGACAGATCTCTGCATCCTGCCATTGAGACAGCTTAATGTACATGCAAGCCAGATCAAGCCAGGTCTCCATCTGCAAAGCTCGGCACTGGTTTTGACCATCCTGTTCCATGATGTTAGTACAAGCATGGAGTGTCATTACTTTTTATCTTCTTTCACCAAAATTAAAGAGTAAAGAGTAGAAATTGGCTAATATTTTGGGTGAAAAGATTGATGAGCTGAGTTTATCTTTAAAAACATTTGAAATAATTTTTAAATAATAAAGAAAGTGTTAAGGAATATGATAAACAAGGCCAAAAGTTTCATTTTTCTTATCCGTGTCATTCTTAAGAAAGTTCCATTTTTGCAATAATTATTTCACCCTGCTTAATAAAATACCTTGGGATTTCCCATTGCCTCAAAGCTTTTGGACTGAACCTGAAGAACGGCAAGCAGCTGCGTATATGTTTCCATGGCATTTCCCACCTGACCCTGAACAATCTGGAGTTTAGCTTTAAATCTTAACAGCCCCCCCTGATCCCACTTCCCGGTCTGATCAAGAGCTGCATTAATTACACTTTCGGCATCCAAAAACCGTTTTTGAGATGATAATATCTGAGCCAAAAGCACCCATCCTTTTACACTAGACCCACCTTCCAACTTAAGGAAGCGTTTGGCATAATAAAGGGCGGCATCCAACTTTCTCTGCTCAGCATTTTCTAAACAGAGATTGTAAATGATATTCGAATTTTCCATTCTTGTCATCCTCCCAGCAGTCTCAAGTGATTGGAGTGCCTCATTCTTTATCCGGTGGGCCCTCTCAGAATCTGGAGAAAAAGACTTAGAATGAGCTGAGAGTGAAAGCCCTAATACAAAATTGCCCACTCCAAGCAACTCATCACATTTGTTCTCTTTTAAGATTGCGATTGCTTTCTGAGCAAGCTCCACACCCTCTTCTGCATACTGTGCACTCGAACTACATATCTTTGAAGCCAAGAGTAAGGGTAAAACAGATTTTCGGCTCTCTGTACTTCTTCTTATCAACTTCCGCAGCAAATTCAAAGCAGTAACGTCTTCTTCACCTTCTTCTCCATGATAGCAGAGAGAAAGTATGTAATACATTTCTCTCTGGTCTATTGTGTGTGGAGGCAACTCCTCCACCTGGTTGGCTAAAGATATCAGTCCCCCAGAAATGGCCAATGCATATGTCAGATGATCCATGATTTCAGGGTCCCACTCAATTCTTTTAATAGATACTTTTCTTAACAGGATGACCAATAGAAGAATAGCTTCTTCAATGTTGTTTCCAGGTACAAAGGAACTGTCCATTTGGGAACGAAGATTGGGGGGATTTGATTCGCCCCCACTGTACAGAAGGAAAACAGCAAACTCTTTTTGAATCCTTGCAATAGTTGAAGCATCAAGATTCCAGTGATGAGAAAGGGATCGCCGGTATGAGATGATCGTTTCAGAGGGAGAACTGGAAAGTTTCCATAGTTCAGGAAGCAGCTCGGCAGCCTTGTTCAGAGTCTCCTGAAATTTACAGTCGGCGCCGAAATTCTCAGGCAAGCCGGTTGGCAGCGAAGAATCAACAATGTCCAGAATAACTGTGCATGATTGAGCAGCTTCTGCAATGCGTTTGGACAGATATCAGAGAATAAGCTCAACTTGTATATACTATCCCCCATTTCTTTTTAGTTGCAACATGGATAAATTTACACTATTCACATGCTCATTTGACTACATTTTATTTATTAATGAATGATAATTTTTACTTTGGGAAAGTTCCCGAAATGGGACCAAAAACGTTTGTAAATTCCAAAATAGGACTGTCATGTTTTTATTCCCAAAATAGGAGTAATTACTGCCAAGTTTGGAAAATACTTCCATGTTAAAGTCTGGTACTGCCAACACATGACAGTAATTAGTCCCATTTTGGGAATTAAAAACATGACAGTCCTATTTTGGAATT